TAAAATGCTATTCCCTGAATGAAACTTCTCCTGAATCCCCAGCCAGAAGAGAAGGTCTGTCTTGCTTTTGAACTGCTATGCCTTCATATGGTTTCTTGCAGCACATGTCAGCTTCTATTATGGCATTGCTGCCATTTACATTCACAGCTGGCCTTTTTTCTTTACTAACTTGAAAACCCAGGAAAGGCAGGGTCAAGTTTTCTCAAGATGGGTATCTTCTACAAGAGCTGGCAAATTGTTAGAGCTATTAATTGTACCTACTGTGTGTGAGGCCCTTTGCTGGGAAACAGAGGTCAGTAGATGACCCAGTCTCTGTTCTCAGGAAGCCAAGTCTACTGAACAGGACAGACCAATAAAGGAGCTCGTTTAATACACTTTGGTAAAGGCTACTAAAGAGAGCCGCTGAAGCAACTGTGAAAGCATAAGGCCATGACCAAGGTTTCTGGGAACATTTAAGTTGAGTCTTATGGAGTGAACAAAAGTCTTTCTAGATGAATGAGGAAAGAAAATTCCAGGCATAAGAAACATGATACTGAAAGGCCATGAAATATGAGAAAGGAAACAAAGTTGTGTGGCTAGAGAGTAGGTGTGTAGAATAGGGAAGAATTGGTAAGGGGGCTGCTAGAGAGGAGGTGGGGCCACATGAGCCATGAACCCTTGAAGGGTTTTTTATCCAGAGGGCTTAGAGTGTCAGAAAGAGGGAGCAGTGATTAACTGTGAAAGGAGGAGGAAGGCCTCTCTATGAACATCTGGTCCTCTGATGTGTCAGAAGGAGGTTCAGGTGTTGGAGACCAGGTGCCAGTGGGACTGACATGTGCCTTTGGGAAGAATGGAGGGCTCCCTCTATGCAAAGAGAATCTGAGGCTCCCAGTGCCATTATCCTGGGATAGTTCTGGGAGGAATGAAGATAAATATGATGATATGTGACATAGTAGGTTTCTAAATGTTAGTTTTAAAACTAAACAAAGTAGTAGGAAATTGAGTTAAATTTTTTTTATTATAAATGTTATAGGAATTCATATTTAGAAGATAACCATTGAAAGCTGGAGTAGTCAGTGATGGGGAAGTAAGAGTTGAGCTATCCTTGAACATTGAAAACAAGGTGATGGACAGATAGGAACAGGAGTCCCTCCAAGCAAGAGAAGCAAGCTGGAAGGCATCTTTGCAGAAGCAGTGGGCAACTTTTGGGTTGGAGGGGAGGAGGGAAGCAGTGAAGCTGAGTACAGGGGCTGGGCAAAGGGGTAGAGTCCTTTTTTTAAATTTATTTTTTTAAGAGATGAGGTCTTGCTATGTTGCCTAGGCTGATCTTGAACTCCTGGTCTCAAGTGATCCTCCCACCTCAGCCTCCCAAAGTGCTAGGATTACAGGTATGAGCCACTGCACCCAGCCATGATGTAGAAGTCCTTGAAGGACAGATGTTTACCTCTGAGACATTAGGAAAAAGCTACTGATATGATGAAAGTGGCTTAGCAAGATTAATTAGGTGATTTTGAAATATACAATGCATTATTATTTATTGTAGTCACCATCCTGTACAATCGATCACTAAAGCTTATTCCTGTCTAACTGAAATTTTATACCCATTGATAAAAATCTCTCCTTTCCCCATTCACTGCACACCCCCCCAGCCTCTGATAACCACCATTCTGCTCTCTAATTCTGTGAGTTTGACTGTTTTAGATTCTACACATACAAGCATATCGTGAATATATTGCAGATTCAGGTCTAGACCACCATAATAAAGCAAATATCACAATAAAGTGAGTCCCACAATTTTTTTTTTGTTTCCCAGTGCATATAAAAGTTATGTTTACACTGTTCTGTATCCTGTTATGCAATAGCATGTCTAAAAATGTACATACCTTAATTAAAAAATGCTTTATTGTTAAAAAGTGCTAGTGATCACCTGAGCCTTCAGTGAGTCATGATCTTTTTGCCAATGGAAGGTCTTGCCTTGAGTTGATGGCTGCTGACTGATCAGGGTAGTAGTTGCTAAAGGTTGGGGTGGCTGTGGCAATTTTTAAAAATAAGGCAACAGTGAAGTTTGCCACATTGATAGACTCTTCCTTTCATGAAAGATTTCTCTATAGCTTGTGATACAGTTTAATAGCATTTTACCCACAGTAGAACATATTTTGAAATTGGAGTCAATCTTCCCAAACTCTGCCACTGCTTTGTCGATTAAGTTTCTGTAATAAATCCATTGTTGTAATTTCAACAGTGTTCACACCATCTTCACCAGGACTAGATTCCCTCTCCAGGAACCACTTCTTTGAAGTAACTTCTCATGCATTCAAGTTTTATCATGAGATTGTAGCAATTCAGTCAAAACTTAAGGTTCCACATCTAATTCTAGTTCTCTTGCTATTTCCATCACATCTGCAGTTACTTCTTCCACGGAAGCCTTGAATCTTCAAAGTCATCCATGAGGGTTGGAATCAAATCTTCCAAACTTCTCTTAATGTTGCTATTCTGACCTCCTCCTCATAAATGTTCTTAATGGCATCTAGAATGGTGAATTCTTTCCATAAGGTTTTCAATTTACTTTGCCCAGATTCATCAGAGGAATCACTATCTAGGGCAACAACAGCCTTACAAAATGTATTTCTTAAATAATAAAGACTTGAAAGTCAAAATTACTCCTTGGGCCATGGGCTACAGAAAAGACGTTGTGTTAGCAGACACAAAAACAACATTAATTTTGTACATCTGCATTAGAGCCTTTGGGTGACTAGGTGCATTGTCAATGAGCAGTAATATTTGGAAAGGAATCCATTTTTTCTTTTGAGCAGTAGGTCTCAACAGTGGGCTTAAAATATTAAGTAAACCATGCTGTAAACAGATGTGCTGCCATACAGGCTTTGTTGTTCCATTTATACAGCACAGTCAGAGTACATTTAGCATAATTCTTAAGGGCTGTAGGATTTGCAGAGTAGTAAATGAGCCTTGGCTTCAACTTCAAGAAACCAGCTGCATTAATCTCTAATGAGAGTCAGCCTGTCCTTTGAAGCTTTGAAGCCAGGCATTGACTTTTTCTCTTTAGCTGTGAAAGTCCTAGCTGGGATCTTCTTCCTATATAGGCTGTTTCTTCTGCATTGAATATCTCCATGTTATCAATAAGGTTGTTTCACTTTCTTATTGTTTGTGTGTTCACCAGAGTAGTACTTTTAATTTCCTCCAAGAACTTTTCCTTTGCATTCGTAACTTGGTTGTTTGGTGCAAGAGGCATAGGCTTTGGCTTATCTTAGCTTTCTACATGCCTTCCTCACTAAGCTTAATCATTTCTAGCTTTTGATTTAAAGTGAGAAACTTGCAACTTTTCCTTTCACTTGAACACTTAGAGGCCATTGTAGGGTTATTAACTGGACTAATTGTAATATTGTTGTGTCTCAGAAAATAAGGAGGCTCGAGGAGAGGGAGAGAGATGGAGGAAAAGCCAGTCAGCAGAGCACTCAGAAAACACACAACATTTATTGATTAAGTTTGCCATCTTACATGGGTGCAGTTTATGGCACTCCCAAATAGTTAAAATAGTAGCATCAAAGATCACGGAGTTTAGGATCAGCCTGGGCAAGATGGCCAGATCCCATTTCAAAACAAAAAACAAATCACAAATCATAGATCACCTTGACAGATTTAATAATAATGAAAAAGTTTGAAATATTATGAGAATTACCAAATTTTACACAGAGACATGAATGAGCATGTGCTGTTGGAAAAATGGCACTGATAGACTTGCTCAATGCAGAGTTACTCCAAACCTTCAATTTGTGAAAAATGCAGTATCTGTAAGGAGCAATAAAATTATGTATGCCTATGTTACTAAAAGGTTGACTTTATATATTTTCACCACGTAAAAATGAAAGCATGTGAGCTGATGAATTTTGTTTACATTAGTTAATATATCGAACGTAAATGTATATCAAAACATCACATTATACTCCATAAATATATACAATATACAATTATTTGTCAATTAAAATATAAAATATTTATATGCAATAAAAAATATTTTTTCCAAAAAGATTAATTAGTTGGCTATGGATGGATGGATTGTGCAGGTAAAAGGGAGGAGTTTGTCACAGGCTTTTGCCTGTAGTAATAAGGTTTACATTGTACAATAAGATAATGGAAGGACCATTGGGGAGGACTTTTCTTCTAGGTAGTGATCAACAGGGCTTGGTGTGGGGATGGTGAATCCACAGGGAGCCAAAAGTATGAGGTTTGGGGCCTAGGAGAACTGTGGTAACATTGAGAGGGACATAGTAGATTGGGAAGGGGAATTGGTCTATGGGATTAGACTTGTTTTTAAAATTGAAGTCATCACATCTGACTCAATGAGTGTCAGAGTTTTATGGACAGTTGGAGCTATGAGACCTGTGGCCACTAGTGATGTTTTGAAATCATTACAGCACAGTTGGGGCAGGAGCCAGATTGCAAGGAATAACAGAAGATCGTGAAAAAGCAACATCTTCCTAAGTGGCAGCTGCTTGTTTCACGAATTGCATGAAAGGAGGAGAAAAATGTAGTAGTTACAAGGGACATTAAGTAGAATCCTTAAGCTGGGATAGGACATAGAAACCTCCAGATTAATTCCTTATAAATTCTTACACACATATGGTCACTGATATCATATTTCTTTCATCCATCTCTTCATTCATTCACTATGTATCCGCATGCCAGGCATTCTGGTCACTTCTCCCCTTTACTTCAGTGTGGGCTAAGTGCCAGAGCAGCCCCTTAGCAGTCAGTACTAGTGTAGCAATAACAGGACTTAGGCTAAGGACACCTGGAATAATAAATCACCGTCTTTTCTTCCCTTAATTTCAGCTAACATTTCTTTCCTTCCATCCCATGGGAAGGTGCAGGCCTAGTGTCAGTGATTCCAGCCATGTGTTCTGAGTACTTTGAGATGTTAATGCAGTACATTTCAAGAACCATTTTTAAACAATTTTTTTTTGTTTTTGTTTTGTTTTGTTTTGTTTGTGTGATACTAACAGGTAGAGTGGAACCCGCAGCTATCAGAGGTCCCACCCCAAACTCAGTTTGATTACACAGTCACCAGTCTAACTGGTGGTCCGAAACCATATTCTCCTTATGACTCTCAATACCGTGAGACCACCCTGAAGGTAAGCAATGCTTCCTTGCTCAGGGGAGCCCCACTGCAAAGGTTGGGTGGTTTTCTCTGGGCTGAGTTCAGCAGGCTGTCAGGTGTTTTCATTCTTCTTTCTCTTTCTTCCCTACTTTAGGGGGGCATGTTTGCTGGGCAGCTGACCAAGGTGGGCATGCAGCAGATGTTTGCCTTGGGAGAGAGACTGAGGAAGAACTATGTGGAAGACATTCCCTTTCTTTCACCAACCTTCAACCCACAGGAGGTCTTGTGAGTCACTTGAAAAGGGATGTTGCACTTAATTTAAGGTCTTGAGCATGAGGATACCTGTCCTGACTCCCAAAGATGGTTCCCACTCTCACCCAAGGTAGTTTGGGGGACAATTTGTCATGCTGCATACCCTTATGTCACAGGATCTGGTGAACAGGTGGTTCCTGGAGGTCACATTCATTGGACTTCGAGTCTCTTGAGGGCAGACATCCCACAGAGAAGTAAAGCTTTCTTCCTAGTTCCATAGCTCTCCTTATGTACTCTTGAAAGACCCCTGGAGCCTCTGTGGAATAAAATAAGAGTGTATATAATTAAATATTCCTTTTATGACTGTCACTGTCTTCTCATTTTTTTCAGTATTCGTTCCACTAACATTTTTCGGAATCTGGAGTCCACCCGTTGTTTGCTGGCTGGGCTTTTCCAGTGTCAGAAAGAAGGTTCGTATTTGGGATCCCAGTCAGTCCCTGTCCCTGGGGTTCTTGCTTCTCGCTTCCAAAGCCCCTATCTCTTTCTTGGTGCCTGTTCCCTTGATTTGTTTTCTCCTGCATGTGTGACTTCCAGTGTGTACCTAGTCCGGTGGGTCCTTCCCTGTCTGGCCTTATGGTGCCCCTGCCAGCCTGACCTCCACAGTAGCAGCAGTGTAGCAGCTGCTCTGATCTGCCTCTGGCTCCTGGCTTCTCCCCTCAAGCTTCTACACCAGCTGCACAAGGCAGTCTTAACCATGTTTTGTAAACACTCGAGAGGACTTTTTGTTTAGGTGAGACATTGCTGGAAAGGAAGGACACTGGGCCCCAACACTGCTGCTACTGCCCTAATCTTGGTAATAATCCATAGCGTGAACAGTGTTCTGTCTAGCCTTTCCTAGTTGAGAAAGTCCATCAAGTTTGGGTTTTGATATATTCAGCCCCTGAATGGTTGTAGTCAGTGGTTCCTAACCTTGTCATCCCCAAGGACTGAGTTAATTATTTTCCCTCGTGGATCCCATGTGTTGAGAGCCTTTGGCCATCACATGAAGCTTCATTTTGTCATTTGTAATTGACTCAAATTTACATTTAATCACTGGTCTGAGTTTCAGATTATCATGACCTCACTAAACAGGTGCCACAAAGCAAAGGTTCTTGTTACTTTGTTTAGCTTTTTGGCAGTGTCTCAAATAGAAACAAAATTTCCATCACACTTTTTAAGAAATATGTAAAATAATAGAACCTTCAGGAAAGAGGAGTCTGGTCTTACCCCCAACTGGGTTGGATACTGCTGCTAGTTCTGGCTGTAGTTGGCTGCTGCACACAAACAGTACGTGTCTAGGTAACATAAAGCCATAAAGCAGTTTGGGCTGCCCCTTACTTCTTGGGAGGCCTTGAGTTTAGGAATGACCCACAGCGCCTGATCTTCTGAAAGCTCTCAATTGCTTAGCTTCTAAAAGGTAAAGATCTTCTTAGAAACATCAGAAGTGGTACTGAGAAGGAAAGATGTTTCTTGGTGGCAACATTTTCTTTAGGCAAGTCCCAGACTGGGAATGTCCCAGGTTTCCAGCACGGAAGGAAATCACTAGCCTCAGGTGCAGGTGTCTGGGTAGCAGCTCCCTGCGCTGGACCCACAGGTGTTGGGACTCCAGTTTGACCTCTTTCCTAGCTACTTCCATGCCTTTCCTATATGAAGGGACTTGAATAAAGAATCCCAGAAGGGGCCGGGTGTGGTGGCTCACGCTTGTAATCCCAGCACTTTGGGAGGCTAAGGCGGGTAGATCATAAAGTCAGGAGTTCAAGACCAGCCTGGCCAAGATGGTGAAACACCCATCTCTACTAAAAATAAAAAAATTAGCCAGGCAAGGTGGTGGGCGCCTGTAATCCCAGCTATTCAGGAGGCTGAGGCAGGAGAATTGCTTGAACTTGGGAGGTGGAGGTTGCAGTGAGCCAAGACCACACCATTACACTCCAGCCTGGGTGACAGAGCAAGACTCCATCTCAGAAAAAAAAAAAAAAAAAAAAAGAATCCCAGAAGGTGGCACTGTTGGTGGAAATGCTGCAACTTTGGGATATTGCTTTAGGAGTAAAATCCTAGAAAAATCCCAGAGGTTACATGTAAGCTACAGAGAATCAGGCTGTGGGGAAAGCTGGAGATTGTTGGTCTGCCCACTTGGCCAATCATTTGCTCAGTGTACATTTGTCTACTCAAGTGTGCCTTACTTATCATAAACTGTGGGTCCAAAATCCAGACAGCATTATCAGACCCCAGATGGAACTATTAGAGGTTTATAATTTTATTAGTGTTATATAAGTTTAAGTCATAGTTATTCTAACACATAAAGGACCTAGTACAGTCATTCCACAGTATCCAAAAGGGATTGGTTCCAGGACAACCCTCTCCCCTGGCAGATACCAAAATTTACAGATGCTCAAGTCCCTTTTATAAAATGGCATAGCTTTGCACGTAACCTATGCCCATCCTCCCATGTACTTCATATCATCTCTAGATTACTTTTAATACCCAATACAACACAAATGCGATGTATTATCCTGTACTGTTTTCTAATTTGTTATTTTTATTATGTTAGTTTGTATTGTTCTTTTTTTCTTAAATATTGTTAATCCATGGTTGATTGAATCCATGGATGTGGAACCCAAGGATGTGGAGGACCAATTGTATGCAACAAACTTTGTTCTAAGAACTTTGCATATATTAACGTTTAATTCTTGTAATAACCCTATGAGGTAGGTGTCATTATCCCCTTTTACAGATAAGAGAACCAAGACACAGAGAGGCTCAATGACTTGCCCAGGGACACAAAACTGGTAAATGGTGGAATTAGGATTCAAACTCTGGCAGTGTTGGTTCAGAATCCTACTTTTTCGTTTTATGCTCAACTGTTTCTTTGAGGACATGTATATCTGGAGGCGGCATCAGATCATTTGGTTTGTCCTTTTCACAACACATCTTGCAGAACCCCAGCATTCTTCAGAGGGGTCTCAGAAAGTACAGAAAAGGAGGGGATGGGACATGCAAGTGGACTATGCTTTGGATCTCCACCTTGCAGCCATCAGCACCTCTTCTTTTATTATTATGCTTTACATAATAGTTGGAGGTTGGTGGAGGTTCTGTGGCTGATATAGTCCCACCCCTTCGATGTACAGATGAACCCCAGAGAACGGTAGTGACTTCCCAAGGCGACTCTGCTGGTTAGTTGTGGACTGAAGACTAAACTCATGACTTTCAGTGTGGTTTCTTCTTCTGTTCACACCAATGATGTGTGTGTGGATTCTGATATTCTAGTGAAGTTATAGGCTACTTTTAAAGCCCTTGGTTCTGACTATCAATAAGTTGGGAATAAATACCCCTTTGAGACTTTGATTCAGCTGATCACTCTGCAGACTGACCTCAGTGAATCCCAAATTGCTGCTGGGGAGCTACTTCTTTTGCCATCAGGCTTGAGTGGTGTGGAAAAAGAACCTACCACACAGAGATGGCACTTGCCATCTCCGGCACAGAGCAAAGCCTGGGAAGGTGTTAGAACACCTTCTTTGGGCATTGACAGGAGGGGACAACGGTACTGAGGAGCTCTGAACAGCAGTGAGCTGCCATGAGAGACATAAGAAACATTGTAGTTTCTTTGGTTAGATCTTTGGTTAGACCAGCCATTCATCTAAAAGCCTGGCTTTTTATTTTGGGCAAGGCTATGGGGTCTCTGAGAGGATCTGTGGCCTTGCGTTCACTTTTCTCAGTTTGTTATGTGATAAGTCACTATAGTGGCCTATAGGATCAGGCTTCGGGAAGCAAGATAGTAACTTAGTTCTGATAACGCTATTCTTTATTAGAATGCCCAGATGCTGGTAGTGCTTTACAGCAGGGATTTTTTGGAAGGGGTCAGGGAGTTGCCAGTCTGATTCAGGTCTATTACCTGCTCTAGTCTATTTGTGGCCCAATAGGAGGGCTTGTGCTAGACAGAACAAGGCTGCTGTGACTTACTTTTTCCATTGCTCAGATTATAGGAGAGCCCCCTTCGGCAGGGCCAGGGCATGTGGAGGGCATTCTCTGTCCTTAAGGAGTAACCTTGATGATCTGCCTCTCAGAGCAGATCTCTGCTCCATCTCTGTAGACAAAGAGAAGGGGGTGGAGATGCTGGGAAGAACAAGCTGAAGCCTCTGCCTGCCTGTGCTTCCTACTTTTCTTCCAGGACCCATCATCATCCACACTGATGAAGCAGATTCAGAAGTCTTATATCCCAACTACCAAAGCTGCTGGAGCCTGAGGCAGAGAACCAGGTAACTGCTCCTGTTTTCTTGCTCACCAGTGGGGGACAGCCTTCTACCACCTTTGCTGGCAGAACTGTCTGTACTGAGGGCCTGCCCAGGCTTACCCTACTGGCGAATAATGGATGGGAAGGTTTAAATTACACCTAAATGTGACATCAGCTGTCTAGGAAGTGAAGAAGTCTTATTCACAGTGACAGACCCATGGTAAAGGTCAGGAATTCTGAGAAGAGCTGCACGTTGGGCTAGCAAGATGATACATACAGCCACGAGTGGGCTTTTGCCATTTACAAAGTATTATCCTCCTGATGACCCAGGGCTCTCAGGTGGGGCAGATGAGGAAACCAACAGGTTAAATAAAAGATGATTGAGACTGTCTTTAACCTGCAAATCCAGGTGTACAAGCCCAAGAAGACACAGACTTTTCTTCTCTTACCAATATGTTTCTATGTAGGATAGATTGGTTTGGGCTGATGACACTTTTCAGTTATCAGGTATATCTAGGCTGCACTAAGATTATATGGCATTCCATAAACAAAAGAGAATGCTGTTTTCAGACACACATGGGCCATGCTTCCATCATTTTTTATATAATGCAAATGCTAGAGTGAGATTTGGAAAATTCATCCTGTTATCCTAACCCTGGTACTTGCTAACTTATGTTTACAAGTCGTTTGACCTTATAGAGCCTTAGTTTATGCATCTATAAAATTGGGATAATACCAGCTAACCCCAGTGGGTTGTGGGGATTAAATGGTATCCCAAATGATAATCCCAAATGTGAAGTACACTTTGTAAACTGTTAATCACTATAGAGTGTAAGACATTACTCTTTGTTTTTTTTGTCAGAGGCCGGAGGAAGACTGCCTCTTTACAGCCAGGAATCTCAGAGGATTTGAAAAAGGTGAAGGAAGGGATGGGCATTGACAGTAGTGATGCAGTGGACTTCTTCATCCTCCTGGACAACGTGGCTGCTGAGCAGGTGAGTCCTGGGGTTGGGGAGCCTGGGATAATAGCCTTGGTGGGCTGGCTCCTGAGTTAAAACTGGGGGGAGAGAAGTGGGTGGAGGCCTCCTGGTTTGGAGGCAACTGTGATAGGACCTGCAGATAGAATGGATGTGGGGACTGAGGGATAGGGAGCAATCGAGGAAGACTCCTTACCCAGGCAGGAACACAGGCACTGAACTCTAGACCAGAGCTTCTTGAGGCATGTTCCCCAGAACACCCAATATGCAAGTGTGTGTTTGGGCAGGTGGGGGCAATGGTTGGAAGGGATGAGTAGGGTCTAAAAATTTTGGAATCCCTATTTATTGTATCACTTCTTGAGAGTACTATATGTACATCAACACATTAAAAAAATCTGAGATGCCTTTCGTAAAGAAAGCTGGTTAATCTTTAAGTCTGTTTTTCTTAAGCTTATTTAGCCGTAGGATCTTTTTTTCTGTAATAAATATATAAAGAAGACTGATAATGGGAAAGGTTTCTCTAGATTCAGAAGTTGGACATCCAAAGGTGTATAGGATCCTCCCTCCTTCTCTTGTGGAAATAAAATGGCAGTGTACCCTGAAGGCAGAAATGCACCTTGCTCTTATGTGTAAAACAGGTTTAAGGTTAGAAGGCAAGAGTTCATATCATATATTTGTATGGCGTATTTTTTAGAAGTCATTTTGGGAAAACGAAGGTCAAGTAGGAATTTATGAATTCCTTACTTTGGATTTTATTCATCTTTTTTTTTTTTTTTTTTTTTTTTAAGTTAAAAAATACAGGCTGGGCACGGTAGCTCATGCCTGTAATCCCAGCACTTTGGGAGGCCAAGGTGGGAGGATCACGAGGTCAGGAGCTCGAGACCAGCCTGGCCAATATGGAGAAACCCTGTCTCTACTAAAAATACAAAATTTAGCCAGGCATCGTGGTGCACATCTGTAGTCCCAGCCACTCAGAAGGCTGAGGCAGAAGAATTACTTGAACGTAGGAGGCAGGGGGTGCAGTGAGCCAAGATTGCGTCACTGCATTCCAACCTGGGTGACAGGGTGAGACTCATCTCCAAAAAAAACCCAGAAAAACAGGCCAGGCACGGTGGCTCACGCCTGTAATCCCAGCACTTTGGGAGGCCAAAGCAGGCGGATCACGAGGTCGGAGATCGAGACCATCCTGGCTAACACGGTGAAACCCCGTCTCTACTAAAAATACAAAAAAAATTAGCCAGGTGTGGTGGCAGGCACCTGTAGTCCCAGCTACTCGGGAGGTTGAGGCAGGAGAATGGCGTGAACCCGGGAGGCGGAGCTTGCAGTGAGACGAGATCGCACCACTGCACTCCAGCCTGGGTGACAGAGCAAGACTCCGTCTCAAAACAAAAAAAACCAAAAAACAAAAATGCTAATCATTTTGGAGTAGATGGGGAGTCATCAGAAAGGGAAGAAACCCTTTCTTTTTTTTTTTTTCCCCTGGCCTTCAGATAGCTAGTAATAGCTTTGGAAGAGCTTTATAGACATATCTTCTTGAGCTGTTAACAGACATAGCTGTTCTTGAGCCCGTCTTCTCTTCCCAGGAGAAGACAGGCTCCTGCAGGTTCCATGGGAGCTGATCAGTTGCTAGAATCAGTAGGTGAGAAGCATTTTTTTCTAAAACTCCATGTGGCCCTTTCAGGCACACAGCCTCCCAAGCTGCCCCATGCTGAAGAGATTTGCACGGATGATTGAAGAGAGAGCTGTGGACACATCCTTGTACATACTGCCCAAGGAAGACAGGTGAGGGGCCTCTCACTGCTGGCATGAAGTCACACTTGGTCAGACATCCAAGTGTATGGGGAAGAGGAGTTCATCAGGCCCACTCACGCCTGGCAGCTGATGTCTCCGTGTGTAAGGAGGCTGAACCCCACTCTGCCCGCCTGCCAGGAGACCCTAGGTCTTTGCACTTCTGCAGCTGGAACTGGTGACCTAGTGCTTCTGTTCCCTGTTATGCAGAACCAGGAGCCACCACTCTCCTGACTTTATCACTTGCCTTTTCCTTTTGCTTTAAGGTTTAAAGGATTTGGGTGGCAGGGAGCTGAAGAAAGAATATTCATTTCTCTCTTTAGTCATCATGTTACAATTTACAAATCATTTTCACATTCTCACTGTGAGGTGAGAGAGATACCTTTCTCCCTGGCTTTATAGATACAGAAACTGAGGCTGGGAGATACTGCCTCCCTGGTCTAGGCCCAGCTAGCAAGTGATGGAGCCAGAACTTGGACCCAGATCCACTGACTACCTATTCTGTGTTTTCGCTATATGACTCACAGTTAGGGCTCTGTTTCTAGGTGTGTTTCCTGACTACCAGAATGGAAAGTTTTCCTCTTACCAAATTTCGGAAGACACCTTTTTTTTCTGATTGGTTGAGAGCATTCAGCTTGCACTAAAAATAGGTGACTTGATAGAGGACGGGAGGTAGGAAGTAGTCCGGGGAAAGATGAGTAGGGGGGAAAGGCATCTAACAGTTCAAGAATTTGCACGGTTGAGTGCCTAAGGATAAGAGCCCTTGACTGCATTCCTTCCACTCAGAGTCAGTGTGTCCACTTTTGTGCAAGCCTAGGGTGTCCAGAAGGTTCCTACCAAGCCACACAGCTTGCTGCCACTCCCTGGGACTTGCCAGCTTCCCTTTTCTGTTTGTGCAGGGGCCCCACCGTACCTAAGTTGTTACTTACTGCCTTCTCCTTTATCAACACACACACACACACACACACACACACACACACACACACACATATTTAGTAAATATTTTAAGCTGTGAGGATCATGCAATTTCCGTTAAAACTACTCATCTCTGCCCTTGTAACATGAAGCAACCAAAGACAATATGCAAACAAATAGACACAACTGTGTGCCAGTAAAATTTATTTACCAAAACTGGTCAGATTTGGCCTATCGTGTAGTTTGCTTTATTCTGGTGTAAATCACTTTAAACAGGCCAGGCGCGGTGGCTCACACCTGTAATCCCAGCACTTTGGGAGGCTGAGGCGGGCGGATCACGAGGTCAGGAGATCAAGACCACCCTGGCTAACATGGTGAAACCCTGTCTCTACTAAAAATACAAAAAATTAGCCGGGCGTGGTGGCAGGTGCCTGTAGTCCCAGCTACTTGGAGGCTGAGGCGGGAGAATGGCGGGAACCCGGGAGGCGGAGCTTGCAGTGAGCCGAGATCGCTCCACTGCACTCCAGCCTGGGCGACAAAGCGAGACTCCATCTCAAAAAAAAAAACAATCACTTTAAACAGGACCTTGTCTGTTCCATTCCAATTAGCCCTGATTTTATAAAACTAACATTTCTTCAAGGACAAATGGTTACAACCTCACAAGGTCATACAACTTGGCTTTGCCTGTATATATTCTTCTGAAAAGTATATGTTGCATACAGTGTTGGTTGCCTGTTCTTCATCCATTGCCGCAACATTCCTTGACTTATAAAGATGGTCATTTACCCAATCACCACGAATAAGGATTTGTCTAAGCCAGTCATGGCAACCTTGTTTTCATTTGTCGGTAACTGGGTTCTGGGAATTCTAGGAGGGGTATTTTTTTCTCTTTGATAAAAAGTAAGAAGCACAAAAACAAGGAGAAGACTGGCCCCTGAAGGCTCCATGGAAGCTAATCAGCTGCTAGGATGAGTAGATGAGAAACATTTCTTTCTTCTATAGTAAGTGGACTTTGTTCACTACTGTGAGTGAATGTGCTTTAAGCTGCAGTAGTCACCTGTGGTCGTGATGGGACAGGCCTGAGAATGAAAGTGGTGAAGCCGCAGAGCCAAGCCTGGGAGCACAACCACTGAACCTCTTCTGTAAAATAAATAAGACATAAATAAGAAATGACCTTATAGTCTAAACTCCAAAAGAAGGAAGGCTGGCACATAGGAAACAAAATTTAGGATGTTCTTGTTCCTTCTGATTGTTTTTCTAAGGGCCTTCTAGAATTCCTGGAAATTATTACCCCTTCTCCTTCCCAGCTTTGTCAGCTTTGTTCTTTGATTCCTCAAGGCCTAGTTGGTCACGGCTTATCCAGGTTATCACCCTCCTGCTCCCTCAGCCCCTCCCATCTCAGTTGTGTTCACAACAGGTCTGTGTGCTGGTGCTTGTGTTGTTGGGAGTCTTTATTCACAGAGGACCCCAAGACCAGCCTCAGTGCCGTTTCTCTCCTTCTGGCCCCTTGCTAGCCCTTATGCATGACTTGCCTTTTTCTCAGCTCTGTCTGATTGGACTCATGAGGTCCTGGGGGCAGAATCAGTCTGTGTCCCCTGAATGCTGAGTGCCCTCTAGGTGCTTAAATGTTGTTCACTTTTCACAGGGAAAGTCTTCAGATGGCAGTCGGCCCATTCCTCCATATCCTGGAGGGCAACCTGCTGAGAGCCGTGGATTCTGCCACCGCGCCCAACAACATCAGGTACCTGGCACAGCAACTCTGCTTTGTGCAGCTAAGGGCCGTGGGGACTTCTGGCTGCAGGGAGGGAACCCAGATCTTAGGGAGGCAAGAACCAGGCTGTCAGTGACCAAAGGTAGATGTTTAACAGGCCCCAAGTCTCAAAAAGGTTCACAATCTTTTAACCTTTCTTCCTGCTGCATCCCTCCTACCATGTTTTGAAAATTTTAGTTTAGTGAAAAGAACCTCAAATTTCCTGTTGCTTTCTCTCTCTCTCTTCTTTTTTTATTAATTGAAGATATGTCAAACAATAGCCAATTATGATGTGACACTGATTTGATATGATAATAGTCCAAAACAAAGATAATTGCTTAATGGATTGTGTAGTTTGAACCACTTTCATTGAGTGTAAAGAAGGTATGATATCCATAAGGCATTTAAAAATGTTGGAAGTGGCCGGGCGCAGTAGCTCACGCCTGTAATCCCAGCACTTTGGGAGGCCGAGGCGAGTGATCACAAGGTCAGGAGACCGAGAACATCCTGGCCAACATGGTTAAACCTAGCTCTACTAAAAATATAAAAATTATCTGGGTGTGGTAGCATGCACCTATAGTCCCAGCTACTCGGGAGGCTGAGGCAGGAGAGTTGCTTGAACCCAGGAGGCAGAGGTTGCAGTGAGTCAAGATCACGCCACTGCACTCCAGCCTGGTGACAGAGCGAGTCTCTGTCTCAAAAACAAAAACAAAAAAATGTTGGAAGTGGCTCATGAGCCTCCATTGCCATTTTTGTAGCCTTGAATCCGAGGTTGGGACTACGGCTGTGGAATATTATATGTCCTAGGCACTTGCTAAGTGTGGTCTGCAGACAAACAGCTTCACCATTGCCCAAGAACTCATCAGATTCTCAGGCTCCAGCCTGATCTACTGAATCAGCATCTGCAATTGAACAAGATCCCCGGGTGACTGATATTCACCTGAATTTTGGAGAAGCACTGTTGTGGTATTATGCACAGCTAGAAGCTCATGATGGCATAAGAGGAATAGGGGACAATGAGTTGAAACAGGAACTTTGGGCCAGGATTTGTAATAGCAAATCTTGTGAATGCCGTTTCCTATCCTTCACAGTACCTGCAATGACAGTACATTTTTGCTGGCTTTTGCCACCTTGCCACCCTCTGCCTTGGATCTTTAGAATACCACAGGATCCAATGCTAGTCTTCTAGGATGGGGGTTCATAAATAAAATCCTTGGTCTTTCCTAAGAGATGGATACTGGTGTCAGGCAGATGTAGATTAAAATGGCATTCTTATTACCGATTAAAGCCATTTGGAGAATGTGCTGAGGGCCAAATGGGCTTATGAATATTCTTTTGAAATAAACTTAATACCCCAAAACTTTAAGCCTCCCCAACAAGGAGCACACCTTGCCCTACTAAACTCATCCCATGACTGAGAGTAGGAAGAGCATTCATGTAGGCTGGCAGGACCCAAAGGGAGAAGAGAGGTAGGGCCTAAGCCAGACATGGTCAGTTTCTTCTTTGAAACTCACCAGGGAGGAGTGAGTGGGTGGCAAGGAGGAGGCCAGGAGAGTTTCTCTGGCGAAGACCCTCCTCAGGAAGACACGGGGAGTGGGAACAAGGGTTCTTCCCACGATCGATTGCAAAGGAGTTTTATACCAGGCTCAGCTGATTTCTAGATGTCACCTGGTTTCTCAGGCAAGTGTGTCTTACTTAAAGGAGGCAGGCCACATCCTGACCTTCAGAGTCCGGAGGTAGAGAATTGTGGAGAGCGGTTTCCTCTTGCAGAAAGCTGTATCTCTATGCGGCCCATGATGTGACCTTCATACCACTCTTAATGACCCTGGGGATTTTTGACCACAAATGGCCACCGTTTGCTGTTGACCTGACCATGGAACTCTACCAGCACCTGGAATCTAAGGAGTGGTTTGTGCAGCTCTATTACCATGGGAAGGTAATACCCCTGAGGTGGGGTTGGGTGGTGGTGAGGCGCCCTCCCACAAAACCCACCCACCTGAGTTAGCACCGAGTCCCCCTCCTCAGGCCCAGTGGAGTCTCCCTCGGCACAGTCAGCTCTCTAAATCCTATAGGGCAACTCCTGGCTATGCCCACGGGTCAGGCAGAACTTGACAGATGGTGGCAGGATGGGGCTTGGGCCTTATCCCGGTTCTGTTACAGATTCCTTCTAGGAAGAGGGTCCCCCTCCTCTTCTCCTGAGTGTCCCCGTCAGGATGTAGCTTCCTGGCTGTGAGGCCTGTTTTGCAGATTGTTGACGGTATCTTTGGGAGGTGATGTGTGCTGCTGTTAGCACCCATGGTGTTGGCTGCTTCATCAGGGCTGGGGTCCAGGGCAGAGGCTGGAGCACGCCCCAGGGATGAGCCTGTTGGTTCTCCCAGCTCAGGGATGTAACTTGACTGTTTCTTCCCAGTCAATTCAACACTTTTTGAGTGCTTTTACAAGCAGAGCATAGTACTTTTATTCTGGAAGCTGACCGGGTAGTGGTGCCTTCCTGTCTGTAATATGTATGCACACATATACCACGTGGGTCAGTGCCTCTCAGATCTCTGGGCTCAGCTGGAAATAGCAGAAGGACAGGCTCCTTGGTGGACCCGCTGAGTTATGTCTCTTCCGCAGGAGCAAGTGCCGAGAGGTTGCCCCGATGGGCTCTGCCCACTGGACGTGTTCTTGAACGCCATGTCAGTTTATACCTTAAGCCCAGGAGAATACCACACACTCTGCTCTCAAACTCAGGTGATGGAAGTTGGAAATGGAGAGTAACTGATTTATACAAGCAGGATGTGTTGATTTTAAAATAAAGTGCCTTTATACAATGCCTCCTGCTTTGTGTGTTTGGGAAGAGGAGAGAGCAAGGGGTAAGGTACTTTAATATAAGGTAAGGATATTTCCTTTCTGTGGGTATATTAAGATTTCTTCCTGAAAGGAAAAGGGGTATAATATTGAGACCAAAAGGATATTTCTCTATTTTGTGAGTTGGTTTCTAAGGTTAGAAGCATCTGTGTGTGACATGGGCTGGGGACATCATGACCCTATAGAATTGTGTTGGTTTTAGTTCTTTTCTCCTATATTAATTTCACATGTATTGAGCTACCTACTAAGTAGTGATCATTATAAAGGTGAAAACATTCTGCCCTTAAGTTGTTGCAGTCCAGTGGGACAGGCAGCTGAGGAGATCAGTGATACAGTGCAGTATGTTTTATGCTGTAATAGATATTCGAGGGGCTATTTGGGCGTAGAGAAGAAACTTCCTGCTCACATGGCAGGGGATGTGGGGAACAGTCAAAGAAGGCTTCTGAGATAGTCCTGGCCTGATCTGAGTAGAGAAAGGTGGGTAGGAGTTAACCAGGAAAGCAAGGAGGAAAGCATGTTGCATGTAGGTAAAGGATAGGCTTCAAGGTCAAGGAACATTGCTGGGTGGTAAGATGGAACCCGGATGTGGAGGCCCAGCAGGAGGAAGCAGGAAGGACACTGGGCCCCTGGTGGTTTTAGTTCCAGAAACAAATGCGGGCCCCAGGGCTCTGCAATGGTAGGACCGGAACTACTGAACATAAGAGCTCCACCTGTAACTGTGCCCCCTAAGAGTACCTGATGATCCCCCTATCTCCTTGTCAATGTTCCCGTTCTTCTCCAGAATCTATTTCAACCCTTCTTTGATTTCAAACCACCAGTCCCTTTACCTCTCGGAGAAAACAGCAACCACAAAAACCTCTCCACTTCCTACTATCTTAATATTGACAACTTCTAGATCAGGGAGCTGAGATATCTCAAGCTCAGGTTTCTCTTCTGAGCTTCAGACACTTTTGTCCACTTGGATTTCACTGGCACAAAACTTGCCATGTTAGAATCAACCCCCTCTCCTCCCAGATCTGCTTCTCCCACACACTTCCCTATCTGAATGAAAGACACCTCCACTATCCACCCAGTTGCCAAATCAGAAATCTGTCTTTGTTTTCTTTGTCTTACATTTTCCTATGTCTAATCAGTTAAGTTTTATCAATACTACCTGTTTATTTCTTTAATCTATTCACGTATCTTTATCCTCAATCTTCAGTATCCCCTTTCCATCCTCAGTCTGCTGGTTGCTGTATTTCTTATTTTACTAAGAAACTAAAAGAGATCAGAAGAAAACTTCCATATCCCCCAACACCCAACCACCAAATCTGCTAACCCAGTTGCATTTGTGCTTTTATAGCCTGCCTTCCTTCCTCTTACTAAGAATGAACCAACCCTATTCCTATCCAAGCCCAACCCTCTAGCTTTACATTGACTCCTATTATCTTTTTTCTGAATTGTCCATTCTTTTCCTGACCAATTATTCTATTAGCAGTACAAATATGTGGTAAAATCTCCTGTCTTAAACTTTTTTCTCTGCATCTTTGAACTGCTGTTCTCTTTTCCTTCTCCTCTTTATAGCAGAACTCCTCAAAAGAGTTGCTACCTCTGATGCTTCCCTTCCAGTTCTCTCATGAACCAACTACAATTAAGTATTCACCCCCACCACTCCATGGAAACTGCTCTTGTCAAAATCATCAATGGCCTCTGTGTGGTAAATCCAACAGCTAGTTTTCATTCTTCTTACTAAGCTTCTCATCAGTATTCCTAGACTATTTCCTTCATTGGCTTCTAGGACAAATGTTCTCTTGGTTTTCCTCCAGTTTCTCAACTTTGTTCCTGTTGAATCTACCTTTTTCTAATCTGTAAGTATTGGGGTATCCCAGGGCTTACTCCTTGGACCCTTTTTCCACCTTTTCCCCTACACTCACCCACTAGGTGATCTCAAGAATTTCCAGTTTGAGGCCGGGTACGGTGACTCACGCCTGTAATCCCAGCAGTTTGGGAGGCCAAAGCAGGCAGATCACCTGAGGCCAGGAGTTCGAGACCAACCTGGCCAACATGGCAAAACCTTGTCTCCACTAAACCTGTCTCTACTAAAAATACAAACATTATTATATTTTATAAAATTACTATATGGAGTACAATGTGGTGTAATCCCAGCTACTTGGGAGGCTATATATTTATGTGTATATTTATGGAGTACAGTGTGCCTATAATCCCAGCTACTCGGGAGGCTGAGGCAGGAGAATCACTTCAACCTACGAGGCAGAGGTTGCAGTGAGCCAAGATCGCGCCATTGCACTCCAGCCTGGGCAACAAGAGTGAAAACTGCGTCTCAAAAAAAAAAATTTCCAGTTTTAAATATTTATACAATATCTGCTAAATTTATACCTTCAACCTAGACCTTTCCCTGTGAATTCCAGTCTCGTTTCCAACAGTCTAGTCAATGTCTCTATTGGGTGTTTAAGATACACAATAGGTATCAAACTTCCCATTGTCCACAATAAAGTCTCAATTTCTGGGCCTTTTCAAACTTACTCCTTCCACAGGCTTTCCCATTTAGGTAAATGGCACCACCATTCACCCTGTTGCTTTGGCCAAGAACTCTAGAATTGCTCTTGACTCCCCTCTTTTTCTCATATCCTACCTCTACTACATTAGTAACTCCTGTTGTATCTCTCTTCAAACCATATCCAGAATTGACCATGTCCCAAGACTTCCATTGCTACCGTCTTAGTCCCAGTGTCATCTTTTACCTGGACTGTTGTAAAGGCCTCATAACTAGTCTTCCTTTTTCTGCCCTTCCCTTCTCTGCCCATCTATTCTCAATGCAGTGTTGCCTTTAAAACAAAGTCAGATCATGCCACTCTTCTGCTCAAAATTCCCCATTGGTTTTCCATCTCAAACTAAGGGCCAGTCATAATGCCCTCATGGTCCTATGACATCTCACTGCACCCCAGCCATACGAGCCATCTTACCATTCTGTGCTTTTTTTTTTTTGTAATACAAACTTTTTCTTTTCTTTTTAATTGACAGATAAGAATTGTGTATATTTATGGAGTACAATGTGATGTTTTGATATATGTATGCATGAGGGAATTATTAACTCAAGCTAATTAACATATCCATCACTTCATCTACTTATCACTTTCTTGTGGTGAAAATGTTTAAGATACACTCTTTAGTAGATTTCAGGTATACAGTCGCTGTGGTTTGAGTGCTTTTGTCTTCTCCAAATTTTATGTTGACACTTAGTGCCCAGCACAATGTTACTGGAAGGTGGAGCCTAATGGGGATGTTTAATGGATTAATGCCATTACTAAAAGGGCTTGCAGGAACGGGTTCCTTCTCTTTTGCTTTTCTGCCATGTGATGACAAAGTATTCCTCCTCTCTGGAGGATGCAGCAACAGGCACCATCTTGGAAGCAGAGAGACCAGGCCCTAACTGCTGGTGCCTTGATCTTGGACTTCTCAGCTTCCAGAACTATGAGAGAATAAATTTCTGTTCATTGCAAATTACCGCATCTGTGGTATTCTGTTACAGCAACATAAAATAGAGTAAGACAACAGTATTCTGTTATGAACTATGGTCACCATGCTGTGCACTAGATCACAAAAACTTATTTCTCCTGTGTAACTGAAACTTTATACCTTTTGACTAACATCTCCCTTTTTCCCATCATCCTATCCCATTCTTACTATCCTTGAAGATGGAGTATGCCAAGTAGCCCTGAGGGGTGAGCACAAGTTGTTCCTGTGCCTGGAATGCTCTCCTAGACATTTGGGTGGCTAGCTCCCTCTCTTCATTCAGATCTCAGCTCATTGTCATCTCAGAGAGGCCCTCCTTCTACCTCCTGCCTTAGGTACACTCAGCCACCTTCTGTCATGGGCTGAATTGTGTCCCCCCAAAATTCATATGTTGAGATCTTAACCCCTAGTACAGTAAGTCCTCACTTGACGCTGTCAATAGGCTCTTGGAAATGTTGACTTTCAGTGAAAGGACATATAGCAGGTCCTTGAATAACATTGTGTTTTGTTCAACATCGCTGCCTTGTACCATTGATGAGAAAAACAGTTGGTTTTCTAATACGTTGTTTTACTTAAAGCTACAGTTTCCAAGAACCTATCAATGATGTTGAGGACTGAATGTACCTCAGGTGCAATATATTTGGAGATAGGGCTTTTTAAGAGGTAGTTAAGGTAAATGATGTCATATGGGTGGGCTGTAATCCAATATGACTGGAATCCTTATAAGAAGAGGAAATGAGGACACAGACACAGAGGGAAGATGACTGTCTACAAGCCAAGGAGAGAGGCCTCAGAAGAAACCAACGCTGCCGACACCGTGATCTTGGACTTCTAACCTCTAGCACTGTGAGGAGATACATTTCTGTTGTTTAAGCCACCTGGTCCGTGATACTTTGCTACAGCAGGCCCTAGCAAATGAATACACTTTGTCCTGTCTTTCCCCCTGCCCTGCAATATTTATCAGTGCTGGATATTACATATTTGTGTATCCATATGCTTATTTCACTGACTAAAATGGAAGCTCCATGATGGCAGATTTCTTCTTGCTCCCTGATGTCTCCCTAGCACCTGGAATAGTGCCTACTGCATGCTAGTGCTCAGACACTTGGACATTTGAATGACATCCCCTCTGTCACATCTCTCTGGGGCCCAAGGCCACCCTCCTAGGTTACCACAGTGGCTTCCTAATGAGCCATACCCTCACTTGCTTTCCATTACCCCCTGAGACCTGGCCCCTGCCTACCTCTCCAGGTTCACCCCTCACCTGTCTCCCTAGCCAGACCCATAGTATGTTTTAAAAAAAGGAAACTGCACTTCTCTGGCCTCTTCACCTTGGCACACATTTTTTCCATCACCTGACCCCTGACACACAGTCCCTTTTCCTGTCTAATCCAGTTATCTCTAGACCTCCCGTGTTTCTGTTTGTCCTTCAGTAGGAGGT